GAGAGAGAGAGAGAGAGAGAGAGAGAGAGAGAGAGAGAGAGAGAGGTCAGGCCGAGCTGGCTATGCTGAAGGATGTCGGATTTCCATATAGACAGAAAGTCCCTCGCTCTGTCTGCAGCAGCAATGGGCAGTTTGCCCATGCTTTCACCGGAATCAAATAACCGGTCCACAACACCTCAGGTCGGTCGGCTGCCGATGTTCCTCCTAACAGACTGCGTTGGAGTAGGCATCATGAGGACAAGGAAGAGAGTGCTGCCGCGGGAGGAAACACCACTCCGCCTATGCGTTCTATTCGAGGGAAGAAGCGCATAGACGACAACTTCGGGAATGATCACTATTAACCTTTCTGACACTCACAAGCCGTGTTCCGAATATGTGATTTCCTGTTTCGGACACATGCTGTACAATGTCATCCCAAACCGGCGAACAACAGAGATCCGAGATTAGAAAAGAGAGAGAAAAATGTAGAGTGAAAAGTTATTAACATTATTACAGTATTTACTCAAAAAAAGTAATGATTGTACAGATCCCCTCAGCGAACACGAGCGAGCAATACGCGTGTGATACGAATGGCAGCTAAAGGAAAGAGATAGAGAGAGTATCAAAGATGCGCATCTTCGACGTATCCGATCAACTAGATATCGGTAAGTTCTCCGGACAGCGGGCGGGCTTATACAAATCAACAAGATTTCGAGAATCTAGAAGTGTGTGTAAAAAAAAAAAAAAAAAAAAAAAAAAGAACTGTGTGTACGAGCTGCGGGGGAACACGACACGGTTGGTCTGCCATAGCAGAGGAGATGTCATCCTCCGAATTCTTGTTGATTTGTAAACTGGAGATGTCATCCTTCGCATGCTTGTTGATACAGAGGAGATGTCATCCGTCGAAGTATTGTTGATACAAAGCTCGACAGAGGAGATGTCATCCCCCTAGGCAAATGGAGAGAGAGGCTAGAAATGTGTGTACAAGCTACGGAGCACACGACACGGTTGGTCTGCCATAGCAGAGGACAGCGGCAGGAAGGGGGCGTTATGTGTGTTGAAAGATTCACCGCACAAAGACAATCGATCGATCGATCGATCAATCGGGGCATTGAAAAGACGTCTGATGCGTGCAAACACGTGCGCTGCAGCGAAATCAGCCGCTCGTTCCTTTCCTTCGGCAGTCAATGTCTGTCTATATGTGTGTGTGTGTGCCTCCACGAATACACTGATTCTCTGCGACTGTTGCATCACGGCAGCACTGATAGGCTCCCCGCCGTACGCAACGGCGTCTGCATGGGTGCATTCACCTTTGTATCTGCATGCCCACGCAGCCCCTGCTACATGCGGCAACGTCATCGCCCTAGCTACGCAATAATATGATCATGGATCAGCTTTGCGTGCGTGCGCAGCCTGTCACTTTTTGTGCGCGCGGCCGCGCGTGGGTGTATATCGGCAGGAATGTAAGCGCGCGCGGGGAGAGAGAGAGAGAGAAGAGAGCCAGTCAGCGAGCCCAGCGAACGAGCGAGAAAGGGAGAAAGGAAGAGACGACAGCCAGCCAGGGAGAGGGAGAGAGAAGGCAGGGGGAGGGGGGGGAGGGGGGAAGCCGCGAGGGGTGGGGGAAGAGCGACAGACAGAATGGCAGTAGAAAAGAAGGATTTGAGAGGGCGATCCGGGAGACAGGATGTTGAAGCGCGTGAAGCGGAGCTGCAGTCTTATCTGCTAAACTGCTGAGAGACCTGCAGTGATCAGCGGCAGGAATGTCGAGAAGCTGCGAGGCCTACTAGAGGTCAGGAGCTATTTATAGACACACCCAGTATGTTGACGCAACGTAGCAGAAAAGCACTGGGACTTTTCTGGAAAGGGCTTGCTTGCTTTACAAGCCGAGGAGAGCAGGGAGAAGCACCTTGGCTATCTCCGCAGTCAAAGATATGGCAGCGGATCTTCCCATCGCCTTCAGAGATTTCTTCAGCCGTGGAGTGTATCGACGTTTACGAGCGCGCCAAGTTTGCAATGTGCTACTGGATCCACCCCTTGAGTAACGCGGGGCTGGCACTGGCTTTCCTACCACCTTCTCATAAGCCCTCTCGAGATATTCTCGCACCAGGTCGATGTCGTCAACATCGGCTATGTTTTCGTTACTCTCTCTCCATTCCATAACACCCGTGACAACAGCGATCATTTGCTCAACATCCCTTCGCCCGATCTTCTTCGCGATGCCGTCGTCCATGAGCAGAGATATCTTGACGGCGCTGAGGCAATCTTCCAGATCGCTCCAGGCCCACAGGCGCATGCTCACTTTCTCGCTCTCGACTATCATTGTCTCCAACTCCTCCGCGCCGAGTCGGCCCATGCTCCTGGAAACAGCGCCTTCCAGAAGGCGTCCGCTGCCTCCTTCTTGCGCACTGATTGTCACGCTGCCGTCAAAATCCACGCTGAACGAGACGACGATAACGAGCTGTCCACGTGGCAGCAGGGGAAGATCTCCGAAGAAGAACTCGGCCAGAAGTCGGTTATCTTTCGTCAGGAACCTCTCTCCCTCGTACACTTGCACGATGATCACAGGCTGATCGTCTTCCACCGTCTTGAACTCCTTCCTCATCGTCACCGGGATTGGAGTGTTGCGCGGAATGACCACACACATCCTCCCCCCATTCGCCTCAACTCCCAGGCTGATGGGAGTGACCTCCTGCACCTCGACAGATATGGCGGCGGATGGTTCCACCGGCTTCTTCTTCTTCTTCGTCGTCGTCGTCTTCTCATTCTGCTTCTGCTTCTGCTTCTGCTTCTGCTTCCCCTCGTCTTCGATCTTCCCTCCCACTCCGTCCTGCTCCCTGTTCTCTCGCTCTTCCTCCTCCTCTTCCTCACTCTCTGCCTCTCCCTCCTGTTTTACCTCCTCTGTCTCGTCTTCTGACGCTTGCTGCTGCGGTTCCCAATTATAGCGCCCAGTCAAGATGGCAGCGTGAAAGGCTGCTCCGATCGCGACCGCCTCATCGGGATTCACATCCACGAAAGTGACGTTCTTTCCAAAAAAGTCGGCCAATGTTCGGCGCAGCTTCGGTACACGTGCCGCTCCTCCTGCCAATAGCAGTTTGCGCACGTCGGCTCTCTCCACCTTGGCGTCGCTCAGCACCATGTCCACAAATCCCATACACGCCTGCAAGAACTCCGCGCTCAGCGCCTCTAGCTTCGACCGAGAGAGAGAGCACTGAAAAGTTCTCCCCCCACTGGCAGGGATCGAATCCACGACCACTGGAATCACAGAGATCGTAGAAGAAGGCGACCAAAGCGTAAGCTTGGCGCGCTCGCACGCCGCGCGCAGTTTCACAATAGCGTGAGCGTCATCGGAAATGTCGAAACCATACCTACGTTTGATCTCCTCGACGAAATATTTCATCAGCTTGTTGGTGACGTCCACCCCGCCCAAATGACTATTTCCCGCCGTAGCCCTCACCTCAAACCGTACGTTTTCGCGTCTTCCTCCTCCTCCCTCTCCTCCTCCTACCTCTTTCGAGCATACAAAGGTATTTCTGCATCCCTCAACTTGTATTTCTGCTTCCCCACCTCCTCGTCCTCCCCCTCCCCCTCGCCCTCCTGCTTCTCCTTCGCTTCGCCCCCCTCCAGTCACCCAATTTCCTCCAATTACCCCTCTCACCCCTGTCACCCCTTTCGCTACCGAGGACCACGCTTCGTCCAGCCATCTCTCTCTCTCATTTTTTCTCCCTTTCCCTCCTTTTCCTCCTTTTCCTCCTTTGTCTTTTCCTCCCTTCGCCATCCCGGGTAAACTGCCCGTGCCCTCCACGTCTGTTCCTCCTCCTCCTTCTCGTCCTTCTCCTCCTCCTCCTCCTCCTCCTCCTTCTCCTCCTCCTCCTCCTCCTCCTCCTCCTCTTGTTATCGACAACAACGAGACGTCTGTGCATCCCGCTCCTATGTCGATCACCATCAACAGTTCCTTGTCGTTCCTGATTAGGTCTGACCGATGCTTCTCCCTCGTGCCGTCCGTTTCCGCCGACGAAGCTGGCGCCGCTAATCCGTACGCCAATGCAGCCGCCGTTGGCTCTCCAAGCATGCGAACCACGGTCCACCCGGCTATGGCGGCGGCATCCTTCGTCGCCTGCCTCTGGGCGTCGTCGAAGCTTGCTGGAACACAGATGACTGCCTTCTTCACCTCTTGCCCGAGATAATTCGACGAAAGTTCCCTCATTTTTCCCAGAAGCATCGCGCAGATCTCTTCCGGTGAGAACAGCCAACTCTTCCCCGAAGAACCTATCACGATCGCCGGTCTCTCGTCGCTCCCCTCCCCCACCTTGAACGGCCACAGCTTCGCGTCCGCCTTCACACACGTGTCCGTCGTCAGTCGACCCAGCAATCTCTTTATTTCATACATGCTATTTGCTGGAAAACTCCACATCTCTTCGATCGCACGCTCACCAATAAATCTCGCGCCATTTTCATTCGCCGCCACGTAAGCACGGAGTCCTTCGTTTCCATCTGCGTCGCTAATGACCTCAACATTACCGCGCCAATAGACCGCAGCGCGGCAAGCTGAGGTCCCCAGATCGATCCCGATTACTACGTCTTCACCCGGGTACTCGACCTCCAGGCTGGCAGAACCGGTTTTCATACCGCCATAGCTGCCTTCTGCCATATCCATCATCATCCTGTCAGTCTCTCTCGGCTGGTCGGGCACCCCCCCCTTCGTCTCCGACATCGTGGAAACTCAGGCGTATGCTAGGCAGCTGGCTCAGCCCGCCTCTCTCGACAAAGCACATCAGCCATGTACTGGGCATCCCACAGGACCTAATCACATTTCGACCCAATCGTAACGTAATTGCGGTCAGATACCTGCAAGAATGTCCTACCTACCCTGCGTACATGCCCAAATGGAATCCTATCTGTTATCGAGCTCTCGTTATCTACCGAATTTGGACGTAATTGCGGTCAGATACCTGCAGGAAAGTCCTACCTACCGTGAGTATATGCTCAAATGGAATCCTATCTGCTCTCCTTATCTACCGAATTTGCACGTAATTACGGTCAGATACCTGCAGGAAAGTCCTGCCGTGAGCATGCCCAAACGGAGTCCTATCGGTTCTGTAACTCTCGTTATCGTCATACAATACAATCCAACACAACAAAGAAACGACGTCATCACTTTTTTCCTTTCCATCACTTTTTCAAGGCAACCCCTCGGGTCTTCTCTGAGCGACATTTTCGTTTAGCTCGCCCTCTCAAGTTGTAGCGCGATGGAACTTCCCCCTCTACTCCCACCTCGACTTCGACATCGTCAGGGAGTGGAGACGACGTGGCCGCCATAGCTCGGAGTAGTAGTCAGATCCTGATCGTCCATCTCGCCTACAAGACCACTCTATGTCCAAAGCCCGCGTGAATGGTCACACACCTATATCGCGAACCCACCCTCCGACCCCTCCAGCTGATGCCATGTCCCCTTCGAGGGGTCACCTGACGTCCAGAGACGGACGGCTCGGCTGTAGAGAGCTCCAACCCGCCAATCTGTTTGATGTTTTGGAAGGTTTTTTCCCTCGGTTTGTCCGTGTCATCCTTGCGCAAGGGCCTTGCTAATTTTCCCTGTATCGATCCCGAGGGGTGACCTGTTGATTTCGCCTTTTTTCATCCTTCCAATTTGGCGGGGAATGAAGACCCATCTTTCCCGGGTTATTCCATCGAAAGGAAACGAAGAAGTTATTTTATCGTCGTCTTCGAGTTAAAAAAAATATATATATTCTCCGCTTGATGCCTGTTGCTGCGTGCCAGGTGGCGACCTCCGCCGTCTCATTTCATTATGTTGGCTATGCGCCTCGCTACACAGACTTTCGAAACATGCAAAAGACAAAAATGTTGCTAGTGAATCTAGTCGTTTTCTAGCAAAAAGTTCATTATCTTTTTGCACGTTTCGAAAGCCTGTGTGGCGAGGCCCTATGTTCTACGCCTCTCCTCCTCCGCCTCCGCTCCATCCCTTTATTAGAGATGGCCCGCGAAGGCTTGGCGTAAAGACCAGAAAAGCCTACCGTGTTCCCCCGAACATAATGCACATGCGTCGTATTCACGTTTTCCCACCACAACAAAAAACGATTTTTGGAAAGCCTACCCGGTTTTAAGGACATTCAGCCGTCGTTCCACCTATCCTTGGGGTGGTCTCCCAAGGATGATTGTCTACCGCGTGGGCACGGGGAACGCAGCCCTAAGGTAGCCAAAGCAATGAGACTGAGAGCGGACACCAGACACAGAGAGAGAGAGAGAGAGAGAGAGAGAGAGTTTTGTTCCATTTATTATTATGTGTGAGAGAGAGACAGAGAGGGAGAGA